ACAAGGATAGATAGGAAAGTTCAGAGTGAAAAGGACTGGTCACAGACACTGCCTGCCATCCATATGAATTTTTTTTTTTTTTTGTATACAGGGTAAATGAAATAAAAAAAAAAAAAAATGACCAACCCTTCTAAAAGACTGGCCATGTGTGATTTATCTATACTAAAGATAGGGAGATGTAAACTAAGAAATACATGCTGAGAGAATTTACGTAATTACCTATATACAAGCAAAGTTTATATGAATAACAGACTGGGTGAAGTGTTTAATCTTTTAGGACTTCATCAGTAAAAAACAATTTTAAATTTTAAAAATTTCAGCATTTCTTGTTGAAGTATAATTATAACCATTGATTGCATTTTTATATTCCCCTTCTCACGCATGTAATCTCGTCAATAAAAACATTACTTTAGTCTGACAAAGTCCTTCTAGAGGATGAAATGTGTTAAACAAAATTTTTTCCATTTTGTCATTCATTTGCCTAACATATATATGTACACAATATAAAAGGCTAAAATACTAATATTCAAAAAGATTTTTGAATTTGTAGGTCTGATGATTTGGATTGTGATTATGATTCCAAATTATAATTTGGAATCATAATCACAATCCAAATCATCAGACCTACAAATTCAAAAATATTATAAATTATAACCATGGAATATTAGTCTTTGAGCCTCTTATATTATATTCTTACTCTGTCCTGGACATTGAGTTCTACCTGGATTCTATCATCTTGGGAATTTATTTATATATAAGTGAACATAGAAGTCAACACTTAGAGGCGACAGTCTGTTTCATGCTAGATGCAATCGTCAGGCCTGACAATTGCATCTGTCGCCTCTAAGTGTTAACTTCTATGTTCACTTTTATATTTACACATGCTCTATCTCTTTATCCCATAAATATAGCACATCTTAAGACTATATTTCTTCATATATATATATATATATATATATATATATATATATGGTTGTAGTGGACTCTCTTGTTGTATTCGACATATGAGGGTCAAGCATCTCAGGTCCTAGGCACCGACAGCCCAGACACCAGCACATATGATTTGATTATAGTTGTGAAGGCTTTGTGAAGAACAAACCACACTTTTTGAAGAGACTGGTGCACTACATGCCACAAGGTCCCCAATCGACCATCCACAGGTTTTGAATTTAGAGTTGTCCTTCTCCTAGACCAGTTGCCATCCAAAGCTATAGAACTCAGTCTGTAGCTGGAGGGAGAAGGATATTAACACATAAGTGAATGTAATGGATTTGAGTGGAATTGGAACACAGCTCTCCAATTCCTCAATCTGAGACACTATCCACTACTCCACCGCAAGCCCTATCTATTTATTTATCCTCCTTAGGTTTACCCATATGGATTACCTAGTTTTTCATAAACTATATATATATATATATATATATATATATATATATATATATATATATAGTCCTATCAACTATCACATCTACAACTGAAAAGAATCTATATAAAATCAACATAAAATTTGTTACTACTACATCTATAACAATAAAGCACTTAGTCAATACTAAACAAAACAATAAGCTAAAACTTGAAGGAGGAATTTACTACATTGCCTGTAATAATTGTCACAAAATATACATTGGAGAAACTTCAAGGAATCTAAATAAAAGATTATATGAATACAAAAGGGACATATTACAAAACAATACATCAAATACACTGGTTGCCTACCATCACAAGACTGGCCACAATCTTGATATAAATAATGCTACATTTATCAAAAGAGAAAACAATTCATTATGATGAAAATGTCTAGAGAGTCCTTGATCGCAAGGTCATCTACAATAAATTTGCACCTGGGCTCTTACAACATTTCACCATTCCTGGCAGAACTTCTATTATCACAGTGTGAGATATCTAATAACAAACGTGATATAAAGAAAAAGAATCTAAATGAAATCGGCTAGATTAAAAAATTTTGAATTTAAAATTCTCAGCATCCTTCATTCCTGCACATGTGCAGTCACACCAACATAACAAATTTAGTCCTAAAGGTCAAAACGCATCACAAGAAAACTTTTTACACTTTGTCATACATTCCCCCCCACCACCACTGTAGTAGAATATGATATATAAATTTATATTTACACTATTTACATTGTTCAAAAAAGGGAAAATGTTTCAGATTGTATTTCATATGAATTTGTATATGATTTTGAACCAATCCCATAGTCAATCTATATTTATTCATATAGACAGATGATATATATATATATATATATATATATATTTGATTACAAAGAACTGATGAGGTCTGTCTGTTTAATTAATTATTAAAAGAAACAGTTATTTACTAAGAATACTTAATTAAATTTTGGTATATATTATTGGTTTCTAGTATTTGAAAAACAGTTGGTAACATCCTTTGAAATCGTCAGGACACCATTAAATATTCCTAAAATTGCATCATGAATTTGTTTTTATTTTACATACGCCTTTTGATATTGATTTATTATTATAGCACATCCTAAAACTATATATATATATATATATATATATATATATATATAATAACTTCAGTTCTCAAAAATAAATATAATAATTCCAGCACTTGAAAATTGCTTTGCCATGAAACTTGGAGTTTTTATATATATATATATTAATATTTGAAGATATGAAACATGCCTTGTACAATTAATGTAAGTTATCAAATAAAATATTTGGTTCTTGAACATTGAACTATTTTTTCTTAACTATAGAGTATTTACTGAATTTTGTATATGATTGAATAATACCTACATATATTTATTCATTCGGATATATATATATATCTCCATATAAGTTTGATTACAAAGAACTGATGAGGTCTGTCTGTTTAATTTTTATTACCGTCTATTTACTATTACCCAATTTATTGGTTTTGTATTAAATAGTTGGTAAATATTTTATTAATTTTTTTTGCAGATTATTAATTACTATTAATTATTATTAATTATTATTAATACAGTCCTCAAACGTCTCATGACGCGGTTTTCAGAGAATATTTGAGATGAAAATGCCTCAGTTATCAAACAAAATTTTGGTTCTTGAACAATATTGCTGAACTGAGCCGAACTGAATTAACTAGAATGGAATAATTTCTTACTTCATGTGAACTGTGCTTTTTTTTTTCCCAATTTTATTGTACTGTGCCATTTTATTTTTTCATTAAGTCCTCAATCCCATTGTATCTAAAGAAACAAGACAGGAAATTATAAATTTGGAACAATTCCCATTGTAAAAAACAAGACAGGCAAATTATAGGACAATTTTGAAAAGTCCAGTTTATACGAATGAGGAGAGAAAAGATGTATAATTTTAAAATGACTTAAATTTAAAGAGACATGCAGCCATAATATTGAAACCTGTTTAGTAGAGCAAAACAGAAAATGCTATCTTTGACATGTGTCATAAAATATTGTCTCTTGTAAACATCTTTTAAAGAAAAAAAAATTAAAAAATATGGCAATTTTAAAAAAAAAAGAAAGATTATTTCTATTCTAATGTCAAAGGTGTTGAAGAGCACGTCTGGAATGGCAGATTAGACTGAAAATATCCTTCATTTCCTGCAGACTTAATGCCTTAATCACAAACAGATAATTTACCATGATACTAGAACTGGCAATGAACGAAGGAAAAATGATAAAGTCTGCGAAGGGAGATAGAAAGCAAAGAGATGTGAAAAGAGAAAGAAATACAAAATTGAGAAAAGTAATGAGAGAGAAAGAGAAAAGTGAAAGAGAGGAAAGAGGGAAGAGAGGAAAGAGGGAAGAGAGGAAAGAGGGAAGAGAGGAAAGTGAAAAGTGAAAAGAAGGAGAGAGAAAAGAGAGAAGGGAAGGGAAAAGAAAGAGAGAAGAGAAAAGAGAAATAAGGAGAAAAGAGAGAAGACAAAAGAAAGAGAGAAGACAAAAGAAAGAGACAAGGGAAAAGAAAGAGAAAAGAGAGAAGGGAATAGAAAGAATGAAGATAAAAGGGAAAGGTAAAAAAAAAGAGAAGAGAGAAAAAGAGAAGAGAAGACAAAAGAAAAAGAGAAAGAGAAAAGAAAAAGAGAAGAGAAAAAAAGAGAAAAGAGAAGAGAAAAAAAGAGAAAAGAGAAAGAGAGGGGGGAAAGAGAAAAGAGAAGAGAGGGGGACAAGGGAAAAGAGAAAAGAGAAGAGAGAGAAGACAAAAGAGAAAAGAGAAGAGAGAAGGGGAAAAGAGAAAGAGGAGAAGAGAGAGAAGGGAAAAGAGAAAAGAGAAGAGAGAAAAGAGGGAGAAGAGAAAAAGAGAAAGAGAGAGAGAGAGGGAAAAGAGAAAAGAGAAGAGAGAGGGGAAAAGAAAAAGAGAAGAGAGAGAAGACAAAAGAGAAAAGAGAAAGAGAGAAAAAGAGAAGAAGAAGACAAAAGAGAAAAGAGAAGAGAGAAGACAAAAGAGAAAAGAAGAGAAAAGAGAAGAAAGAAGAGAAGAAAAAAGAGAAAAAAGAGAAAAGAAGAGAGAGGAGAAAGGAAAAGAGAAAAGAGAAGAGAGAAAAGGGGAAAAGAGAAAGAGAAAAGAGAAGAGAGAGGGGAAAAGAGAAAAGAGAAGAGAGAGGGGAAAAGAGAAAAGAGAAGAGAGAAGGGAAAAGAGAAAAGAGAGAAGAGGGGAAAAGAGAAAAGAGAAGAGAGAAAAGACAAAAGAGAAAACAAGAAGAGAGAAGACAAAAAAGAAAAAGAGAAGAGAGAAAAGAGAAGAAAGGGGGGAAAAGAAAAAGAGAAGAGAAGACAAAAGGGAAGAAAAAGAGAAAAGAGAAGAGAGAGGGGGAAAAAGAGAAAAGAGAAGAGAGAAGACAAAAGAGAAAAGAGAAGACAAAAGAGAAAAGAGAAAAGAGAGGGGGGAAAAGAGAAAAGAGAAGAGAGAGGGGAAAAGAGAAAAAGAGAAGAGAGAGGGGAAAAGAGAAAAGAGAAGAGAGAGGGGAAAAGAGAAAAGAGAAGAGAGAGGGGAAAAGAGAAAAGAGAAGAGAGAAGAGAAAAGAGAAGAGAGAAGACAAAAGAGAAAAGAGAAGAGAGAAGACAAAAGAGAAAAGAGAAGAGAGAAGAGAAAAGAGAAAAGAGAAGACAAAAGAGAAAAGAGAAGAGAGAAGACAAAAGAGAAGAGAAGAGAAAAGAGAAGAGAGGGGGAAAGAGAAAAGAGAAAAAGACAAAAGAGAAAAGAGAAGAAAACAAAAGAGAAGAGAGAGGGGAAAAGAGAAAAGAGAAGAGAGAAGAGAAAAGACAAAGAGAAGAAAGAGAAAAAGAGAAAAAAGAGAAAGAGAGGGAAAAGAAAAAAGAAGAGAAAAGAGAAAAGAGAAGAAAGAGAAAAGAGAAAAGAGAAAAAAGAGAAAAGAGAAGAGAGACAAAAGAGAGAAAAAAAGAGAAAAGAGAAGAAGAAAAGAGAAAAGAGAAGAGAGAAAAGAGAAAGAGAGAAAAAGAGAGAGAGGGAAAAGAGAAAAGAGAAGAGAAAAGAAGAAGAAAGACAAAAGAGAAGAAAGAAGACAAAAGAGAAAAGAGAAGACAAAAGAGAGAAGACAAAAGAGAAAAGAGAAGAGAGAAGACAAAAGAGAAAAGAGAAAAGAGAAGAGAGAAGACAAAAGAGAAGAGAGAAGAGAGAAGAAAAGAGAAGAGAGAAGACAAAAGAGAAGAGAGAAGACAAAAGAGAAGAGAGAAGACAAAAGAGAAAAGAGAAGAGAGAAGACAAAAGAGAAAAGAAAGAAAGACAAAAGAGAAAAAAGAAAAAGAGAAGAAAAAGAGAAGAAAAGAAAAGAGAAAAGAGAAGAGAGAAGACAAAAGAGAAAAGAGAGAGGGGAAAAGAGAGAGGGGGAAAAGGGAAAAGAGAGAGGGGAAAAGAGAAAATAAAGAGTAAAAGAACCTAACACTTTTGAGTCCCTTGAAAGAATTTATTCTGACATGATTAAATGATTACTTACCATATATTCTTGTGCATAATATGAGAAATTTTGAACCAAAATTAAAAAGGTAGAAGGATGGGTGCCATATTTTTATAAGTAAATACACAATTTCAGAAATTTTCATTCAGCTTAAAATGCATCTTATTTGAAACAGCAAGATCGCACATACACTCACATGACACAATCTTCTATCTATATAAATAAAGCACAGTATACATGTGTCCATCCATCCATCTGTCTGTTTTTCAATCTCAGCAAATCATAATCTGAAGTCACAGGTAGTAACTACTACAGTTACACACAATTAAAATTATATAATAAACTAATTAAAGTTAAATTAAAGCATCGAAATGAGTGAAAGGTTTAAAAATAATTCTATATTAAAGGTTTAACTTTAATTTTGTTTTTCGTTGCAATCTAAAGAATGCTACACTTATTAAAAGAGAAAGTAATGTACTTAAATGGAAAATTCTTGAGTACTGCCATCGAATCTTACCAAAATATCTTCACTCTGGATTTTTTAAAAATATCACCTTCCCTAAAAGAAATACTCCTTTCCCAAAACAATATATATCATCATGAAAATTTAGAAAATTAAAAGACAACAGTTAAATTCAAAAGCTATTATTTAAAATACATAACACATAAATTAATTCCTAAAACTAATATAATGACATTATGAAAAAAAATTAATTCAACATTTACTTACTTTTTGTTTCTTAGACATTAAATTATTTCACTTAACATCCTCCATAAGTTACATTAACTTTCTGTTAGCCCAAAGTGTATATAGTTAGTAAGTTATTTGGTAATTGTATGGAAAATTCTAATCTGTATGGAAATTAGTCCCAAAAAGTCTTCAGATCTCCATTTTGTTAATTCTTTTTTTTTTTTTTTTTCTTTCTCTCTCAGAGAAGAGAAGAGAAAAAAAAAGAAAAAAAAAGAATGAGAACTTAACAAAATGGAGATCTGAAGAATTGGGACTAATTTCCTTTTGATCCCACCTTCAGATCTCCATTTTCATACTTGCTCTGTTTTTACATTGAGCTCTCTGGATTACATCCAAATTGCCAAGAATTTTTATATATATAATATTATATATAAATAACTGTGTTTTATATATATATATATATATATATATATATATATATATATATATATATATGTAGTGTGTGTGTGTGTGTGTGTGTATGTACATATGTGTGTATATATATATATATATATATATATATATATATATATATATATATATATATATATATGTGTGTGTGCCAGCTATATATATATATGGACAGTGTGTGTCAGCTATATATATATATATATATGGACAGTGTGTGTCAGCTATATATATATATATAGCTGGCACATACATATGTACACACACAAAATGTACATACATATAAACATACACATTATACATACATAAAAACCCTTTATGCATACATATGCACACACGTGTGTGTGTGTGTGTGTGGACAAAGATTTCAGTGACAAATTTTGTATACATTTTTGTTGAGAGAGTAATCATCTCCACTAAACACACCGCCTTCTCCTCCTGACTCATTTATTGACATCGATGGTTTTGATCAAATTCAGGGATTGTTCAGTCTGCTCTCTTCACTAAAACTTCAACAGGCATAGACCCAAATGACACCCACTGCCTGGAAACATGGAAAGTATGATCATTACAGTACTTTTGTTCACTGGTATTAAGGTTAGGGGTCGCTAAGTCCTGTCTGATTGTTACAAGTACTTGAATATTCCTTTGAAATTTGAATTCCTAGCAGTTATTGAACATATAAATTATGACACAGCCAACTGAACAATAAAAGGGGACTAAGCCCCTAATAGTCATTCAATAGAATGACTCAGATGATATGGACATGCAACAAGTTGGAAACTGGAGCATAAAAATGACTCATGATAAAAAAAATTTGAAAGATGGAATAAAACTAATAATAAAATAATAGTAATAATGAAGAGTGTATAGAGCCAGAGTGTTGAGATAAAAAGAAACAATAATAAGATGGAATAAAACTAGTAATGAAATAAAAGTAATAATGATGAGTGTATTCTCAGAGATTTTTTTGATTGGCTTGTTTTTTATGGTTTATCAATCTTTTATGTTCGATTTAAATCAGAAAATATTCATAGATTATAACAATCTTTTGGAGATAACAATGATATACTGATAAAAGCACTACTAATTAACCCATAGCTAGGGAGGTGGAGAACTTTCTTGAAGATTTTTGCATGCAAGTGAATATAACAAATACAAGTAGAATTTGAACTCATCTATCAGATTTCAAATTCTGAGCCATCATCCATTACACCACCCACACAAACAAGCTTACAGCACCTGGTATTCCCAAGCAGTCACCCATTTAAGTACTGGCTAGGTTTGACATTGCTTAACCAGTGTTTCAATGTGTTATGACTAAGTTGACAAAAAGAAATAGTTGGAATAAAAAACAATATTAAGAACACCTGACCTATTTTATTATTATTATTATTATTACTACTACTATTGTTGTTTTTTGTTGATAATGATGAAGATGAGTATAACATTGAGTTTTGATAAAAAAATACTCTCCCCCTCTGACAAAACTAAAATTAACTATGAAGTAATTTTTTTTTTTTTTATTTATTCTTATCACCCCATGTAAGGCAGTAAAGCCACTAAGACACAAGCAACTACTTAGTGTTAAAGAATAAGAAAGAAGAGAAACATTATTAAGGTGTAAGAACAACAGAAGTGTAATCAAGAAAACAGTAGATAACGACTGACATTGCATTTGAATTTTGTTACGAGGAGGCATTTGTATAAAAAATTTATAGTCAGAGATTCTACTGAGCCCTACTTGTTAATACAAAAAGTTTTCATTCATGAAGTAATTGTAAAATAGAGGAATTAGAAATAGAATGTTTGGAAGATTCTAGATCATTCCAGTATATTCGAGAAAAATCTAGATGATTCTAGAAAAATGCTAATTAGGTGCTAGCCCCTATAAAAACAGGTTTTTGAAAAAGAGTTGTCAGTTGCAAAAAAGGAATTTCTGCCATTATCAACTCCGACTTTTTGATTCGAGGATTAATATATCCAGCTGAAAGAATCTCTAAGAAAAGGTGCCGACCAACAAAAATCCAAAAAGAGAACCACATGGAACAGATTTGGTAAGTTTTTGACTATTTTCATTGACCAAACTACAAATTAATCTATATATACTTACATTTGTGGATTTCCAGTAATAGCACTTAGATTACTTCACTAGCCATAACATGGTAAAGATACTTGACTCACCTTCCTTCTCCTTCATAACACTTTGCCAGTAAACTCTGTTTTCAGTTTTGTATGTCATAATTGTATATCTTATATATATTTTATCTTGTGTTTTTGTATATTAAATATTTGTCTGTGATTTAACTCCGTGTTTTGGTAAATCAAATTTTTTTTTTCTTTGTTAAAATTTCCAAACACATAACAATTTTTCGAGATCAAAGTTGGCTTGAAAGCCGGAAGAGAGTTCCATATTGAAGAAGTGCGAGGAAAGAAACTGTTAGGATAGAACATATGGTTACATACAACTGTGAATTTATGAGACCTTACTGCCAATCTAGTACTGCGTTTAAATTCATAAAGTCTAGGTACCATAGCAAAGAGCTCACCCAAACAATGAAAGAATCTACAGAAAAGGCACAGGGAAGTTGCATCACGGTGGTGAGAAAGTGACTGAAGCTGAGATGTCAGGTCAGGACTAATAATATTGCTGATTCTTCTTTGAATTTTATTCAAGAATAGATATACAGTAGGAACACCAGACTGTTACAGAGAAAGCAGAAAAAAAAAACAGTCCGATTGATTGGCAATGTTCTTATTAAAACAAAGGACAAAAGAATTCTCATTCGAATAGGAACATGAAATCAAAAAATAAAACAGTTCTCATTAAAAGAAGAAAAAAAAATCCCCCACCACCACAAAAAAAAAGTAATAAGTAATTTTGTTTTTTTGCTTTATTTTAATGAAATTTTCTTTCTCCTCTGTGACTATTTAAGAACAGATGCCAGTTTTCTAGGTCATTGGCACTAAATGACTTTAGCAACCAATGTCTGGATTTCATCTTACTCACTTCAAAATGACAGCAACGCTGGCTCATTCTATCCCAAGAATAAAAATGGTAAACTATACAAGCAGTAGTTGTTTAGGTAACCCCTGATACCATAATTTATAAAAGAAAAACATCTAAAGTGACTCTTGTGATGCAAGGGGGATATGGAAAAAGATCCTAGAGCCTGACCCACTTCCTGAAGTCTCTGGAAAGATAGGCGGGCTGAGAACTTTTCAGCACCCCCTGTTAAAATATTAACATTACTATTTATTATAATGTTTATCAGTAGCAAAAATGGAATTGGTGAGCCAAGTTCAATGAGGAAGAAAGGGATTGTTAGTGGTTAGGAAGTAATACTACATTATTAGCAAAATAGAGGTAACTGTTCCAGAAAACAATTATTTTGAGCACCCATCAAACAAAACAAGTGAATTTAATGACTATATATATATATATATATATGTGAAGAAAAATACAGAAAAAAAAACAAACAAAAATTTTAACATGCAATTATGCTGTATTAATGTTAATATAAAGTAGACGTCGGACGTTTCGGGTCTATTTAAGACCATCTTCATGGACATTTTCATTTAAACATAATTAACATTAGAACATATAAAAATTTAACACAAAAGACGATGGACATAAGAGCACAACTAATCCAAACAGATAACTGAAATTTTTAAATAAGATCAGCGTTCCGTTTAAATATGATCACGTTGTCGCTATGTGGGCGATGTTGTGAAAACGTATTCAAGATGATTTCCAAATATTAAAAAGTCGATTGAACTATTTTATATAAACAGTTCAAGAAATCCCTTCCATTGAATATAGGAATACGTAGAGATTAATAGGTTCTTATATCTTCATACAAGCTGGAAGTCCTCCACGTTACAAAGCAAATCAAAAATGATTTAAAAAACGATGGAACAGTTCTAAAAAAAAATATATATATATATATATATATATATATTCATACATGTTTCATTAAATAATATAGATAAGTGTTGTCTATTTATTTTATGTAAATTCTTTTCATAATGTCTGATAAGCTTAATAACATTATCATTAAATGAAGAAAGAAAATCACAATACTGATCCATATTTTTTTAATCTAATCTAAGCTTTCAGTTTACATAAGCCATTATCAAAGATGTCAATTACAGTAAAATATATTAAGCAACAAGACAGTGATGATAGTCTGTTATTGTTTACATGGATGATTTCCAAGCAACGATAAACACGTGCATATATGACGCTGGAAGTGAAAATCACACTGCAGCTCATAACGTCACAAATGACCACGCGAGAGTGAATTTGAGAAGTATATTTAATCACATTTCCCTAATAGCTGTTGCAATCTGTTAATTTTATTTTTTTTAAGTCAAGCATGTTGATAATGAGCAGGATTTGTGTTCAAAAAATCTATATTTACAGATTAGGACATCTATCAGAGAGATGAAATTTAGATTTTTATTATTGCATTATTCCAAAATTTTAAACCATCAGCAAATAGCTATATAGGTCACTAACTGAGCACAAATAGTTATTAATTAAAAAAATTAGTAATTAATGTATTATATTATCCATAACTACATGTTCAAGAATGTTGCTTTTGATAAAAGTTAAAAAAAAAATAACGATAAATACATAAAAAATGCATATATTGTTGAAAATTCTTTTTTTCCACAAAATATAACTATTTGTGCTATGTTATAATGCTTATTACCTAAATAATAACAACACTGAATATTTCTTTTTTTTTAAACATTTAAGTATATTTAATCACATCTCCCTCATAGGTGTCATGATCTGTAAATTCAGTAGACTGTTCTTGTTCCATTGCTCATATCTACAGGCCACTTTGGGCATCTCGGGGTGGTGTAATGGTTAGCAAGCTTATCTCGCTAGAACAATTACAACTGAGTAGTGAGTTCGATCCTCACTGCGTGCCTCATACTTCCGGCCTTTTGACACATCTAAGCTACGCTTGGAAAATCACTTGGGTACCTCGTGTGGTGTAATGGTTAGCAAGCTTATCTCGCTAGAACAATTACGACTGAGTAATGAGTTCAATCCTCACTGGGTGCCCCATACTTTCGGCCTTGTGACACATCTGAGCTACACTTGGAAAATCACTGTGTCAATGGCCTACTGGATTAAAGCATTGGTTTGTTATTTTGGTTATATAGAGGTTGTGAGTTCAATTCCTGGCAATGCGTACTTGAACTTAGCAGACATGAGAAGGGACTAAAACGTACTAGACCATATCACTAGACATTGGCAGGGCAACATGGACAGCTTACCCTAGTGATTCTCAACCACTGTATTTATATATATATATATATATATATATATATATATATATATATATTGTCACAGCATATGTGTGTGGAAGTAGTAATGTTATAGTGTTAGCATTTGAATAAGTATCAAACTTTTTATCCCTCATTGTCTAAAAAGGCTTT